ATTAAAAAATTTAAGTGAAAAATTATTTTTAAATACCAGAAATATGTAATTAAAATATTGCAAAATTTCAACTTTAATCGCGAATATCTCGAAAACTATAAGCTTCCTGCGGCTATAACCATATATATTCGTGATCTGGAGAATCTCCTCTATCCGACCATACCCATTTTATTCTCGAAATCCTGGGACGGTATACTAAAGTCTTCCCTTATTTTATAATACTATTTATTATTATATAATATTACTTAGTTGTTTATTAAATTTTAATAAGAAAAAATCCATATGCATGGTAAGATTGTTTATACTCATTTTAATTTGAAATATAATTTACACACATTTTTTCATTAGAACTAATATTGCTAAATAAAGAAAGAGGAATTTTATCGAAATAGAGAAATCAGCGAATTCCTTATATTTGCGCTCCATTTCCTTATAGTTGTTTGCACATAAATGATGCTCACTACGAGTGTAAAAAGTGATTTTTAAAATACTTAAAAATATCGCAGAATAAATATTTACATATATACAAACTCCTACATTTAAATCCCAAATTCTAATTTTACTTAAAAGTTTGCTTTCTAATTTTAGTGTCTCTTTGGTCTACCTGTTTGAAGATTTTTGATTTTTTTACTTTCTGTCGGAAGTTTAAGTTCTCATATTGTAACCACTTCTTTTTCTTCTTAATTGGCGTAGTCACCACTTACGCGATTATAGCCGAGTTAACAACCGCGCTCCAGTCGCTTCTCCTCCACTTGGTCCTTCCAACGGAGTGGAGGTTTTCCTCTTCCTCTGCTTCCCCCGGCGGGTACAGCGTCGAACATTTTCAGAGCTAGAGTGTTTCCGTCCATCCGGACAACATGACCTATGCCAATGTCGTAATATATCTCGTACAGCTCACCGTTCCATCGAATGCGATATTCGCCGTAACCAACGCTCAAGGGACCATAAATCTTTCGCAGAACTTTCCTCTCAAAAACTCGCAACGTCGACTCACCCGTTGTTGACATCGTCCAAGTCTCTGCACCATATAGCAGGACGGGAATTTCGTTCCCACGACAGTCGGGTCTACGAAACCCGGAACKKGCCCGGATTTTTATCCGGCCAAGGACTGTCAACTCGGCAGAATTCTGCCGTTACAGCAACAACAACAACGAGAATTATGAGTCACTTATAGAGTTTGGTTTTTGTTCGTCTTTGCTTCTCAATTGCCTACTCAGTCCGAAATAGCACCTGTTGGCAAGAGTTATCCTGGGTTGGATTTCTAGGCTGACATTCTTGGTGGTGTGTGCGCTGGTTCCACGTTAGACGAAATTATCTACAGCTATGACTGTCAACAATGACGCGAGTGCCAAGTAGCGAGTGCGACGACTGTTTGTTTGATGACAGGATATATTTCGTCTTGCCCTCGTTCACTGCCAGACCCATTTGTTTTGCCACCTTTGCCAGTCTGTAGAAAGCAGAACTAACGGCTCGGCTGTTGAGGCCGATGATATCAATATCAATGTATACTCTTATAGAAGATGGTACCTTTTCTATTTAGTTCTGCAGCTCGAACTATTTTCTCCAGAAGCAGGGTGAAAAAGTCGCACGATAAGGAATCGCCTTGTCTGAATCCTCGTTTGGTATCGAACGGCTCGGAGAGGTCCTTCCCGATGCTCATCGTCATCGCGGCATAAAGGCATCTCTTTTTCGTGCTGTTGAAAGCGACGAAGAGGTGGTGAGTGTCGATTTTCCTTTCACGCGTCTTTTCCAAGATTTGGCGCATAGTGAATATCTGGTCATTTGTTGATTTTCCAGGTCTGAAGACACGCTGCTGCGGTCCAATCAGTTTTGTTATTATAGTTAATATAGAAAAAAGAATCAAGCGAAAAACCAAAGAAAGAAAAATAATTTAAAATCCTACATATTTGCTGTTTAAGATGTGGCAGCGCTCGTTTTCCTCAGAATTGTAAACAATCTAACCCTTTCAACGATGTGTGTGCTAAGTGATATTTTGTTTAATAAATTTGGGTAAAATATAGCAAAATAAAAGAGATATGTGAACTTATTTCAATGTTTAAAGTGAATATTTAAAGATACATGGCTAAAACCGTGAAATAATTGTAGAGAAACATACAGGGTGGCTGATGAAAGAAGCTATCACAAAAAATTAAATAACTTTTTTTCTATTTAATGAATCTGGTTAATTTTTTTTTTTTTTTTT